AGACATAGCATTATTTCTTCTATTCACCATTAATTTTACTGACCTCAGGGTATGGTCCAAAGAATGAAAGAAGAACAGGAAGCAGCACCAATCCATTCAGAACTCCCAGAATGGTTAAGATTGCCAAAACAGCAAAGAAATACCTGAAGTAGGGTTTAAACGGGTTTTGGGGAGAGAATAGCCACAAATATTGTTAGAAATAAGGGATTACAAATTACTTCTACATATGTTAAAATAATACATATACTAAATGAAATCTAAAATATTACCAATATTGTACTAAATGATTGTATCACTTTCCATATATAGATATAGGGTTTTTTACCTTTTGAATTAGAGAAGCTACATTCCACAACCCAAAGTGTTAGTTGATAAAAGAAAGAAAAAAAAAAATTACATTTGTTAATTTCCCAGAATCTGGAAGCATGTAATGTTATTTATGAATGTGTTACACAAACACAAAAATATGGAATGTGCAGTGAATAGCTGAATGGATTGAAAGCACAAATACAATGAAAAGGGGCCCCCATTAGTGAAAACCCAGCAGAAGCAAACAAATGAAGTGAAGGGTGTAGAATTTAAACAATTTAGCCTAGAAGGAAAAGAAGCCCTCTTCTCCCAGCAGCTAATCCACTGTGAAATGCTTCTGCATCGTACAGCAGAATCTCTAATTAAATCTCCAGTGTATCAGGTAAGTGTTTCCCTTGCTGTTCATTAATCACAATTTTCTGCCTAGAATTCTGCAAGTTCCAGTTTTACCAAATAGCTCGAATTGCAACCTTTTTACAACACAGGAACCCGCTTTCTGCAAAGAAAATGCTGCCCATTCTATAGTAAGCTTCAGCATTGTACTGAGTAAGAGCACTCCACAATGGCAGAGCTGCATTGCAGGCTAATCTTTTGTTGAACAATTTAGCATCTCTGAATACTCTTGTTTTGCGTCAGCCAATTCAAACATAAAGGCTGAAGTACTATGGAAGAAGAGGAAAGTGCACAAGTGGTTGTCCTTTCCCACCACTGAGGGCTAAGGTCTGGGATCCTTCATGAATACCAAGGTAAACCTGTCAGTAAAAGGAAAGCCTTCCTAGTTGGTATTCGGCACAGCTGGGGCTCAGACTAAACTTAAGGCTTCATTCTAATGATTTCAAGGACTCAGTCTTGGTAAATTCCTGGAGGAGAAGGCAAAGGAGAAGAACGGAGAGTCGGTTTGCTACTAATGGGTCTGCTGATTACAGTGTCTAGCTGGCAACAAACTTTACTGCTTCCCTGTTTCCACATCTGATCAAATATATCAGAGTCCTGTAAAACTACAAATATCCTGCTATTGTAAACATTTGGGAATTTCTGATCTGCATTAGCAAAAATCAGCAAGCCAATCTACTCTACTAACATAAACCACCAGAACTTTATACTGGGACAGAGATCAACAACAGGCATTAAAAACATTTGCATCTCATCCATCTAACGCTAGGATAAACAGGAGGATTATAGCTCTGACCACTTGGTGTATACAATGTCTGTTAATTTACTTAATCTTCCACATTGTTGGACTAATCTATCGCTTTCCGGAAGTTTGGGATCTTCTTCGCCCACTGTAACAATGCTCAGGCTCCCATAGTTTATTTTATTTTATTTTTTAAACAAGGCAAACTGAAGTCAGATTGTGCTAGAAAATGAGAAACTGATGGCCAAAAAAAGTAAAATAATACAAGTTGAAAAGTTGAAAGGCTCATTTTATAAACTGAGAGAACATCCAATCCAAATTTGGTGTGAAGGGCTGCTACAATCTTCCATTTGCTATGACACAAAAATATGTTTGCCAAAATCTCGTCTGTTAAGAAGGAAAGTAGTACACCAAACGTACCCCTGTAAATTTAGGTTAAATCTATAAGTAACCTATATGTTAAAGTGTTCCAACCCTTACAAGATCAGGTCCTAAAAGAATAATTCTACCTTATTTCTTCAATACCGATAAAATAAGTAAAAAATACTGATAGGAAAAAAATATAAATTCTATTTCAGGACATGCAATATCTATATAGTAACGATCTTCATGTACGTTTCATGAGGTCTAATTGCAAACTGTCTGCTTTCTTCAAATCTCTTTCATACATAAAAAAATCTTGATGAGATTCAGCAGCCATTCTCTCAGTTCCTGCATCTTACATTTTGTTGTTCTTGTTGTCAAATGGATGTCAGCTAAGTCTAGTCATCTATCCAGCTTATGTCTACTGAAGTAGTTAAGTCATCTTTCAGAGCACTTTTATTTGGCCCAGTTCTACCTCAGTTCCATTTTAGGGCTTGGATTATTTTTTTTCGTGCTGTAGTTTGCCACAAAGAACCTGTGTTACTTCTAAGATTAGCCATTTTGCAGAGCTCCACAGGTTGTTTGGAATAGAATAGGATCTGTTTCATCGCACTTCTCAAATTCCCCTCAACGAAAAACTTGCTTTCCTCTCACACTTGACGAATTCACATTCTTAATTAAATTCACAAGAAACAGTCTGCCTGTAGTTCTAAACAGAAGGGCCTTCAGGCTTTGCTTTACAAAATTTTAATATGAAGTTCTGTGTTCATACTTATGGTTCCCCAGCTCCCAAACAGGGCTTTTTTTCCTCTCCCTGTTATACATCACTGCAAACCTCACAAACGGAGAAGGCCCGGAGAGAGTCACTTGCAGCACAGTTGCAGCATGTTTGTAGTTCACATGTCCTTTGCACACAAATTATTGTCTGTACAAGAAGTCTGGAGGACTCAAAGGTTAAAGGTCAAACCCAGCTAACACCGGACAATACTAGACGTTTTGAACTGACTCAAACACAGCATTAGCAAACTTTGCTAAAGAGGGTCATTTTTGTGTTCTCTCATGCTGGGCGTCAGATTTTCCTGGAACAGCTTTTAATACCAGCAATGGAAACACCACTGCGTCTAGCATGTAACAAGGAGTTAATAAAACAGAGGGAAAGCAGGACCATGACGTAAGCATGCCTGACACACCATGCATAGTAATAAAATGACAGATATGCTGAAGTGACTAAAAATTAAAAGCACACTTATGTTTATTTTAAAAAGAAAGTCAAGACACACACAAATGCTTTACCTGACAATAAAATCAAACTCTGATCCTGCGAGCATTAACACTCCAAGCAGAGTGGACACGGCCCCATCCAGCACTGGCGCAAACATGTGTTCCAATGCAAGGACAGCCCTGTGGTTCCTGTCTCCTATGGCAGTTAAAAATGCCTGTAAAACAATGAAATCCATTTTATTAGACAGATGCATACAACCTTCCAAACAGCCTCTCCCATAGCATGCGCAGTTTTTCACCAGTTAATTACTTCAAACTACAGTTTAGGAAAGTATCTCTATAACTGGCTAACCTTCAAGAAAAGGCCTGATTCTGCAGTCATACCACATAGCGGCTGCTGAAGTCACACGACCAGAGTAAGCACTGATTACAGAGTCAGACCACAGTAATGATTTTGGAAACAATGCCTGCTTGCATCAGTAGGCTTTTGTCTCAAGCTTTGCTTATTTCCACCTGCAAAGAATTCATTTTGTGGTAAAAGCATTTCAGATGTCAAAATTACAGGGCTACTCCTCTCACTCTCGTGGGGCCATGGTTTCCAGGACTTTTTTTAACACTTCTATTTCACTCAAAATAAATGTTTTTGCAACTTCTACTACTTCAAAGCTAGTAGGCCTATACATATAAAATTGCCTTAGGAACAGTGCTGAACACAGTAGTGCCTGAGCAACAGTATGACTAGAGAAATTACTTTCTCCCTCCAACTCCTTAGTGAACAAGCTGTATCAAGAACACTCAAATGCTGTTTTGTATGAATTTTTCTTCTCTGTGTATGACTTAATGGTTTAAGAAGACAAGAACCTGTTTGACCTTCGTGTGATTTATAAGGGCTCTCTCTCTGGTGAATTCTCTACTGCCTGTTAAGATATGAGCTCAAGCAGCTATCTTCCTCTTGGTCCAGAAATTTAAGTGTCTCTTCTCTAGTGGGTTATTTTCACTTACTTGACAAATTTGGAGTGAGATCAGTCAACACATTAAAAAGTTATTTGGTGGGACAAGCAGACCAAAAATGGGTGCATGTAGAGTGAGATTAAAAGTGGTCTGTTGGAAATTAACATATCCAGGACATTTTACATTCCCATATACGTAAATGGATAAAGAATCCCCCTCAGGGTAAAGGCAGCTGTCAATGAGATGATTCACATGAATGGGAGCTACGGGATCTGATCCACAAACATATTAACAAGTTATATAAACATATGTATATGCATGTAATTAAAGGATGCATAATACAAGAGTACACTATCAATTCAGAAGTTATTTGCAGAATTAAAAAAATGAGGTGACAATTCACAAGCGATAGCAGAGAACTAAGCCACAAGTGGATTGTGAATTACTCTTAAACAAGTTCAATTAAGTTCTGTATAAACAGTTCCAGCATTGCCTTTTTTGTTTATGCAACACTGGTTTGAATGTTTATATGCAGAAAGTTCTGTGAAGGTCAGTATTGCTGCTATCATCTGAGCTCTACTGGGCATTCTTTTATTTAAAGCCTATGTCTGAAAGTTTTTGACTGCAGAGTCAATGTGAAAAAACTGCAATTTTCAGTTTGCTTGGCATTTTGCCTTCAGCCACAGGTGACTTTTACTTTTGTGTATATATATATATATATATAGTCCTGTAAATTAGATTAATTTCTTTGCATTTAGAAACAACTAAGGGTTTTGTCCTTTTTTATTCCAGTTTTCCTGTTTAAAATCTTCAATTCTAAGAAACTGTAATTTCTTTCTTCCTCTTGTACATCATTAGTTTTTGACACTTCCCAAATTATTGCAAGTCCTAGCAAACAGGTTTATCTCCAAAAGCCTAACTATCCATAGCAGTAGGGGAAAAAAGACGTCACCACTTCAGGGATCCAGTTGCTCCTCTTTAACCTTACGCTACTTCCCTCACAATTTTTCTTAAAGTTATTCTTTCCATCCTGCCACTTTACGTGCCTCAACTCTGCACATCATCTACAACATGTTCTCAGTATTTGGCCATCTCCAGTGTGCTAAGATCCCCGTTAGTTCTTCTCTCTTTTTCACTGTCGCCAGATCCTCTTAGCAGTCTACCAGTCCTCCTTTAGAGTCCAAAAGGCCTGCTGCATTCCCATCCAATGTTGCCATCACTTTCCAGCCCCCTCCCTTCACTTCTTTTTGGATTGCTACAGTACTAATATACTACAGATTACAGTAGACTACAAGCACCTCCTCCCTGAAATTATATTATATTGATTACTCATCCTCTCCTACTTTTTAGTACAGTAAAATTCAAATCCATTAAAACAATAATATTCTTAAACTATTCTGAAATATCAATTGGAATAGCCTTATAGGAAAATGACTTATGAGTGTGCAAAATGTTGGAAAGATCAGCACTGACATTGTCAAATGTTAACACAGAAAAATAGCCCTTGTCACCAAATAAAGCAAGATGAGTTTTGCATATCTTGAATACCCAAAACTGCCCCCTTGCAAGCACACTTTTGTTTCTACGCATTTTTGCACATCAGGTTGACTAAGCTGGGTGAGTAGGTGCACTCTAGATTTGGACACTTAATCCTGAAAATGTTGACGAACTTTATATGAAACGCATTTTTTCCCCCCTCTCTGCTCCTCCTCATCACATTGGAAAATATTTTCCTACAGACTGCATGTTTGTGCCTGTTATTAATAGCCAATGGGTTCTGAAAAGAAGGTGTAGATTTTTCAAGTGGAAAATTAATTCAAATACATTCAAATTTTAGTGGTCTAGAGAGATCAAATGACACTATATGTGATTTTTTAAATCTCCTTTAAAGGCTTCTCTTCCATTAGATATGGATCTACATGCAAGAGGGGAAGAAACAGCTACACAACACTGAGGCAACAACAGTGAGGCTGCAGACAAGGACCAAAAGAGCCTGGACTGAAGTAACGTGCATTAAGAGCTCTGCTTTGTCTATATATCTGCATCTCTCAGATGACTAGGTATCACAGGTAAGGTATCCCCTCTTATCTCCTAGGAGACTGACTCAGTAGTTAGGAACTACCTCATCGAGATCAACTCCGATCTATCAAGACAAACTGAATGGCACACAAAACTGTTTGTGACCAATTTCCTTCTGAGAATCTTGTCACTGACTTAGGAGACTAAGTAAGGATTTATGATCCTAACATTGCCACCATTATATTTTAAAATATTTTGAAAATGCTTCCTGATTTTACATACCAAAGCAACATGAACAGTGAATTCCACGCCAATGCCAACAGAGGCAATCAGGATAACCACAGGCACTGCACTCAGCTTTATTCCAATTAGACCCATCATGCCAAACAGCTCCACAGTCATCAGAGCCAGCACCACCACCTAGATGATTTCAAACAGCTGTTAGTAACCTTTCTTATACTCCAGACAAATGAAGAAAAAGGTATTTCAAAACAACATGGTGACTATAAAACACACTCCTCAACCCATCCTATATTCCCAATGACAAGCTGCATTTCCTTGTTTCGTTGTGCTCAACAGCAATGACTTGCTGAAGAGCCAGTTTAAATTATAGTCCTAAGAACCAGTTAACAGACCAAGTATCAATTTTGTATTGGTTACAGTTTATCAGTGATCTGAAAAACAATTTATTCTTCCTTATCATGGACACCCCCCAAAACATACATTTTCTTTTTTTCACCTGTTTCTCGGACAACTGTTCCAGAAAATGTAACTTTGAACTACCTGTATTGGAATTCTTTTTGTAGAACTGCAAACACAAGTGAGGATGACTTTTGAATAGGTTCAAAGCCCAGAAGAAAGTGAATGCCGTAATCAGCTGGTGAGTCTCAGGTTACAGAGGGACTCTGAGCTTTTAAGATACGTGGAGGGATTGACACGGACAAAGTGAACAGTTAAATCTAAGGGAGAGCTTTTATTTTTCTTTCATCTACCTTGTAAAAAAAATTGAGGAAAAGGGAGGGGAGGAAATCTGTAGAATCAACTTTAAAAGTTGCTAAAGCCAAGCAGGAAAAAAAAGATAGACATACTTATAAAAGCAATGGTGGACCTGAAAATAAACGCCTTTTCCAAGCGAAAAAGGTATGCACTACAATAAATGATTTTATAAGCTAATGAATCAAGAGTAATAACATAAATTGCTTGATTAAGTGCTATGAAAAATATTCTAGACTAAACATTTACATTTTAACATACCTGTCGTATAAACGTATGTTACAAAAACTAGTAACTGTTTTACGCTTTTCTACTTCTGGCATTTTATAAACCATATGATAGTTTATGGAATTTAAACAAAGGGACATCATCATTCAATTTAACTTGAATGTTTACTGAGAGGCTTATGGTGCCTTGCAGAAAGCATGGAGGAGTATTCTCTTTGGTTAATAATTTTATGGCTCTTTCTCATTGATAGCTTTTTCCACAGCGTGTACTGTACAACCTAACCATTTCAGTTTTTCCAGAAAGACTGCATTCAGAAATCAGTGGGAAAATTTACTGGCAAGTTAGTCACAAGCAACTGCCTTGAAAAATAACTATGTCTGATAAAAAGGGAGAAAGAACAAATAATTAGAAATAACTTTAATAAAGCTCTTAATTTTTCCTCTGTGCTTTACTTCTCATGTTAGTGTATGTGTGAGCAAGGGCAAAAGTTTAGGTACCTTTCTAGAAAACCTTTAAAGCTGCAAAAAAGGTGGCCAAAGGATTAAGGTTATTAAGGTTTGTACCTTTAGCATGAACCCTACCCCCTCAAGTTGAATAAATATATAATGAATGATGCAATATACATACTCCAGCAGAGGCCCAGACATAAACAAAACCTTCCCGACTACAGCAAGAGCTATGCTGAAAGGAATTTGACTTCAACAAAGACCCTTATAATAAACTTACAATGATCCCAGCCGTCCAGGGGTTTAGGAGGAAGAGGGCACACACCAGAAACGTGCAAGCCAAAACCACGCTAATGGATAAAAGGAGCCAGTGACGAAGCCCAATGTATTGCTCCCAAAACAGAAATGGGTAACCATTTGGGTAGCTGGCGATCCCCAGGCTGGTGTAGTTACTACAGATAGCTCTCACTTTCTCAATAGCCTCCACAAAGTCAGAAGTTTCACGCAATCCGTTGAGGTAGAAAGGAAACTGAGCGTATTCTATGGGCTCAGCTGCTGGAACTAGGAAAAGAATAAGTGGTGTTAAAATGTGTGTTTGGAAAGAAGATACACAGCATGATTAACAAAACACTTTGCTCTCCATAGGAAAATGCTTAAAGGTGTTGAACTTAAATTTTACCTCTTTGGAACAAGTGACATCTTAAAAACTCCCCAATAAATTGAAAGCTGAAGCAGTACAGGAGATTACTGTATTTTATCATGCAGTGCAATGGAATGAACAGAGTCTACATCAAGTCCCCAAACAATTCTACATAATTTAACAGATACTTTTCAATACATGTATTTAATCCTCATCAATGTTATAGTGGTTTTTACTAAATAGCTGGCCAAAAATCCCTAACTGCAATATAAAGAAGAAGATCACATCATCTTAAAGATTTTATCCAAATGCTTTTCTTTTATGCAAATGCAGCTCCTTTGAAATCCAAGGTCACTTCCCTGAGATTAATTGAAGACCACTGACACAAAATGAGAGAAAAATTATGCTCAATCAGGCTCGTTGATTTCTAAGATTTCCACTGAATATTTTGAAAGTCAGATTCAGAAATCCATGTTCTGTTACTTATGCAAATGACTGGGAAAAAAAACCAACATAAAACTGATGGTTTACTGAGGAAATACATAACTTTTTATCCTTTAATAATTTGACAAACCAACACTCTCTATACTTTTTCTTGAGCATAATGCTAAGTCTACTGTATGACAAAAAAAGAAAAAGGTTCCACAACAAGCATTTTGTTACTGCCGTTGTGTGTTCCAGACCCTGCAGGGTCATTCAGTTGACTTGCTAAACATGATTTGCCCTATTATAATCTCAACTATAAATTTTCATTAAGACAAGACTTGGCTGACTGCCACAAAGCTCTAGGGTTCGGATACACTGAAGCACGGCTAGCTGGTTACCCAATCACATTTCCAAGAGCACCAGTCCTCCCCTATATGCCCTCTCCCCTTCCCCACCCGTGTCCAACTAGCAATCCTCGCAACAAATTGAAAGCTGAAGCAAAGCAATGTGAACTGGCATTGGTGCTCAGGAAAACAGTGAATGGCACGGAATGGGACTGCTCCACTACCTAAGTAGCTCTTGTACCATAGCAGTGTTGGTAGCTTAGCACATGAGCTAACTTGATAAAAATCCCCTAGGTATTAAGAATTGAGGATAAACATGATACAGTCTCTGGGATGAAATTTCAGAATGACATAGGCAGGCATTTCATGCAGTCTCCATGTTTCTCTCACAGACAGAACTATCAGCTAACACTAAAAAGCAATGCTTAGTGTAAGTTTTTATAGCTTTAAAATGTTATAGAACTCATTAAAAACTTTTCTGAACGTGATAAAACCCTGCAGCGGTGCCACGTTTGCAATGGTGCGAGGGTCTCCTAAGACTACAGAGTAACACAATATATTGTCCTGTTTATGCTTCTGAGCCCTGTGCAGCATCAGCCAACTACAGAGTTACTGGTTCTTGCAGGAAGAAGTGGGGGCACTTATATAAACTGTAAGACATTACGATGATATGCTACTTACTTCTCAGCCTTGTTTCTGGCATATAGTCTGCTTTGTCATGGACCCACTCTGGGCGGTGTGGCCGGATGTTGGCTTGTGAGGCAGCATAGGCCACAGGGTCATTGCTAACCCAGGCTGTCAGGTAGATGTAGAAAGCATTTGGGTTAATGATTCCATCCGCATCCACCAGACGCTGTTTAGTCAACTGCAAAATGGAAAAAATTAGAAGCCTTTCAGAATGAGTTTTGCTTTCGGGGCTCTTGCCGTAAAGCTTTCAACAAATGGCCTGGAGATGCAACACACACGTAGGAGAGGAAAAGCAAAAGAGTATGAATCTTCACTTGAAGTGACTTATCAGTAAACTATTGTTTGACCACAAAAAAAAAAAAATAATCTATACAGTGACAGTAGAAAGTGGTTATTTATAAATTAGTACTCATATAATATTTACAATAACCACTAAATCAGCAGACAGTTCCAGGATAGACTGAACCAATTAAATCCAAATTCTGAAAGCCTGCAGCCAAGAGTGAAAAACAACCAAGTTGGAGAAACATATTTAAAGACAGGGAAAGAAAACCTGGCAAGAGTCCCTATACACGTCTGTGTGCAGTTAACCTCTGTTGTTAACACTGAAGGAAATGCCACCCAGTAAATGGAGGAGAGCTATAAAAATAAAACAACATCTGTATAAATTTTGCTAACACTTGCCTCCTATGACCTATGTATTCAGAAAATGCCCAGCATCAAGAAAGCAGATGAGTGCCCTGTGTTATTTGGGTCACCGTGGGCAAAGGCATCTGTGGGGTAAACAGCAGTGGTACACTTCTAGGGTTCTGTAGCCAAACCGTGCACAGCTAGAGCTCTGACAGAGGACTCTGTGGGTGAAAAGTATTACTGGGTTTTTTTGTTTTGTTTATTTAAAATTCTGGCTCAGCTCCAGTTTCAGGTCTTTTTAATGAAATGAAAAACAACAGTGACAGCAGTTAAAAAAAAAAAAAAAAAGCTGGATTCCAAGGATCTGGATTCAATTAGTCCACAGGATATGCAACAACTGTATGTCTTCAAGCTGTCTCTGGAACAGCACAGTACAGCGCTCAGCCCCTGTGGGTGCACCACACTTTTCTCCCTCCCAGGCACAGGAAATTATATCAGCAGCTGCAGTCCAATTGCATTTGTTCCACAGTGTACCTGGTACACTCTGCTAAACAAAATCTCACTGAAGGTTTTCTCTTCAGCTCCCTTTCTTTGCTTAATTCATAGCTGAAGCTTCATTCAGACCTGACAGCATGTCGCATGTTGCTATACAGCAGTGTGTTTTACACACCATCGTAACTTTGAACAATGTACTCCACAAATCTGTCACCTTTAATGCCAGGAAAAAAAGAAAGACAATAAATAGATCTGCCAAGAAACTCATTAGAAAGACTATTTTTCTGCCTGAAAGCACAGAGAGTCAATGATGACTCTAGGGGAGGAGAAGTTAGGTTATTGCAGAATTTCTTCTTAGAGGTCTGAAATCTAATTTTAGTAGAAGGAGTCAAACCTAATGTATTTCCATCTACCAATGCCTACAGCAAATGCAGTCACATGGTGTGATAACCTTGCAAAAGAACCTCAGACATATTTTATTCAGGCAGCTCAAACAACCGCCATTCTTAGTTCTGCAACAATATAGCTGTATCTAGTGATGATGATACAAGAATATGACACAGCATTTAATGATTTCAGTCCCCTTCTACTATCATTCATCAACATCCTTTTTTAAATGTTGTATTTTGCATAAATTGATACAAACTAACCAAATAATTACAAGTGCTAGATTCAAAGCCACAGCAGAAAGCTGAGCAAAGGTCAACACTGTAAGGCAATCTGAAGCAAATCAGAAACAACGCCACTTAGGGCAACAAGGCTAACGATGGCTCTGTCTGGTGTAGTACCAGACTCCATCTACCTATGGATGCAGCAAAGCATTTTTCACAATTTCAGTGGAAACTGAGTGTCTCTGACACAGGAGCAGTACCGAACACATGCCAACCCGTAATAATCAAGGGCAGGCATTCCCAGTGCTGATTTTGAACACAACAACACAGGCCAGGCTGCAGCTAACAAGTGGCTTCAGCAAAGTCAAGTCAGGCCATGCAGTAATGTGTAACTCATGCATTCAACTCATCAAGACGAAAGAGAAGACTACAACATGCTCTCTGCATCTCCCCTGATTCCTGATGACTTGTGTATTCCTGTATAAACTGGAATGGACTCCGATACAGTACCTGGCTGATGTCAATGGGCTTTGCTCGGTTGCCTGTTTGTACCAAGAGTTTGTAAGCCAAAACAGCATCATCAGATCCATTTTTGTAATTGTTGTAAGTGATCTTCCCAGTTTCCCAGTCGCTGTCAAATGCATCCTGAAGTCCTGAAGAGTTAAGGGAGGTAAGGGGAAGACAGAAAAAGCAGGTAAGCAATCACTCTTAGAAACAAATTTCAGTAGGAAGAAAGAATAATGACTCTTTTTCATAGTTGAACCAGAAAGAAAATATCCACCTGCTGCCCCCTAAATTTGAGGCTCTGGTCCCGCATCCTTCTCAGAGCCTTTGACAGCAACCTAGCACTCTGCTTGGAGAAGTATATGTGGGAACAGTTAAGCTTGTCTACAGTAAGTGGTTTTCCTTGTGAACCACAATTCCACAATCACTACCTCAAAATTCCATAAGCGTATTTGTATTTATCACCTCTTTCATACACACCCTCCTCAAAACAAAGCTAAAGTCTTGCCCTGACCTGGATGGCGCCAGAACAGAAAAGGGCTGAGTTCAGCCCTGATCCAACTTTGCCACCTGCCGTGGACTTAAAACCACAGGAGGCATTTAGTCTGACATCTAGAAGGGAAACACTCTCCATACTCCTCTCTGTCTCACCAAAACCCTGGCTGAGTGCACTGATCACAGGGGAGGACACACATCGCTCTCATTAACTGTTTTGGGCTACTGCAGAGCACTGAGGCAATAGCTTGTACGATATAACCAGAAATTCCACTACAAGGGGGAAAAAAAACCCCACACTCAAACTTTCAACTTCAAACAGCAACTCAGCTGCTCCTTGAGCACAGCGTGAGTGAACACGATTTTGTCAATTTGTTCCATCTGTTCAACTTGTGCAGCTAATACAAGTCGTGGGATCTGCTGCCAGCACATGTAAAGATCACAGCCAACACCTATTCACTCTCAACTGTTATTTTCCTCCTTGCCACCCTTCAAGGGGGAGGGAATACCTCACAGCACAAATTTGGATCAGATTTAGTACAGGAAGCCACAGCCCAGTACAAGGAGGCTGTGTGCAAGCAGATGACAAACCGCATGTCCAGGGAAGGGAAGGAAAAGGCCGGGGGAGTGGTGGTGGAGGAAATCGCTGACCCACCTCGCAGCTGTGCTGAGGAGCCGTAATGAAACTCATCATTACAGATCAGATAGGTTAGCTAACAGCTGTACAGAGATAAGAGTGCTGGAAGAGAAAACACAACTGGCTAACACCACCTCCAGGCCAGAGTACCCGCTCCCATTTACAAACTCATCCTCTTCTCTCCCTTAGAAAGCTGCCTCCCATGTTGTCCTGCCAAATCGTACCCACTTGTGAAGCCAACAGGCTGAGAATCAAGTGATGAAAGATCTCCACACACAGCCCTCCAGCACCTGCCCAGGAGGAGGACAATTTACCATCAGGTTTTCTGGCATCACCAAAAGACTTTGAGGCCCCCTTTAAAAAATCGTTGTTTGCTGGTGCCCTCAGAGATGGGAAATATTGCTTAGCACATGCAAAAATACCAGTCCATCCCTCCTGTGCCAAATTCAGCTCCATGTCAGTCTCTCAGAAAGTGGCCAGGTGAGAGCATTTGTGGTATCATACCAGTCATATGAAAGATGACTTTGGGAGGTTAAGAGGTGGCTGTGAAAAAAGCACCTGGGAAGGAATGAGACCACCAAACAACAGCTTAACTTACAGTAAAAATGGCTCCGATCAGCAAGAGGAGCACAAAAATTGCCATGATAGACAGCATGTGGGGGTAAAGCTTTCAGACTAACATCCAACCCCTCTCAGGGGGCTCCACAGACACACAATAACAAATACATCCATTGGCATGTGATATTACCAATTTGTGGTGGCAAGGTACATCAAAAAAGGGCATGTATATTTAACATTACTGCAGCGGGTGGGAACTCAGCTGTCCTGCATCTCTCCCCTTCCCTGTTCTCACAAGTTTGGTCATCCCTCAAACCCTGCCCCCTTTTATATCTTTATTCCTCAAGTGTTATTCCTGAGGTTATTCCTCAGGTTATTCCTAACCATTTTATGCTCTGGGTTATTTTATTACTGACCTTGCTGAAGTTGAAAGTCTGCGGAAAGAATACCAAGAAACCACTATCAGTAATACTTCGTTTCTAAAGAATTTCAAAATTTCAATAATTAAAATTTCCCATAACACTTTGAAATTAACAGCAGAGTTGCTGCTTTCAAAGCAAACAGTACTTCTGTTATAAACTGTTCATACCAATGATTTAAAAAGACAACTAATCTTTTATGAATAGGATTAATGAAATGTTTCTGGCCAGAAAGATAAAAGTGACTTGTTGACCTCTTTCTGCAGAAAAGTTATAAAAATGAAGGGAATTTTTAAAATCCTATATATAGGATTTTTTCCTATTAGCAGTCACTTTTGCTTAATGCTTCAGAAGAAAGTGAAATTCTCCAAAATTATGTGGGATGCAGGAATGGAGATGAGGAAGTAATTCCCACTGACTCATGTGAACAGCTGGCACCAGAAAACACCAGATAAGATTACCCTTTGCAAAAACAAGCTTAATTACAAGCCACCAGGGAATTCAAGGTACCTCATTTACATTCGGTCACTTACAAAAATAATGTTAACATTTCCAGTTTAAATGAATGATTAGTGTTAACTCTTCTTCTGTTGCCTTTTCAGTAACAAAAAATATCCTAACATGATATGATACCAGAAAGCAAAATACAAGGGAACCTCTGAAAAAGAAGTGCACTAGGCTGAAGACACTCCACTGCTAGTAAACGAGGTGAAATTTACGGCTAAGATCAAGGATGCCTTCTTCATAAAAAATGCTTTTCTTCACATGCTGTTGCTTCCCTCATTCTGCCAGACAAATGTGTGCGTGTCAGAAGGCCATCCTGAGCCATTAATCTCTAGCACTGAATTCCCAGTCAAGTTAGCAGGAACTAGCCATGAAGTTCAAAGCTGTGTCACTTTGATTATCCTGCTCCCCCAGCACATAAAAATGCACCAGTAGAACTGTTCCCACCTCACAAAGGATCTTCCCTGAATCCAGCCTAAAACTGCACCTTGTTTGTAAATTCTGTTGTCACCTTCCCTCCCCTCTACTCCCTCAGCATCAGCCCCAGTTGGTAACAATCAGGTATTACTCTATTAGTGTCTCCACCTTGAGATAATTCCCTACCTATGACAAGTGTGGCAGCTTTTAGTATAACAGTTTAGTTCCCCCCTGTTACGTCAAAGCCCTGTACCATTTTAAAACATAACTTCTTTCTATTGAAACATCTCAATATCCCTCTTCTTTACAGCTTTGTGAATGTGGTATCACACTCTGCGAAGACAGCCCTGTGTCTTTACAAAGCAGCTGGTTTGTATTAATTGTGCCCCTCTTGGGGAAGGTGGGAAGGAGGGGTAAGGACACAGACCTATATGCTAATTGGTAATCATAATGATTAATTCTAAAGCTGCGGGTGATCAATGGGCCAAGCAATGTGCCTTCTGTCACAGGGCTGGCACATCCACTTGAACCACTGCAAGTCCCTGCTTCCTGGAGTCTCCTTGACTGTTCCAGTATAACATTTTGGCTCCATGCACTCCATCAGTATATCCAGGGTTCCAGGAATACTCACAGCTCCTCTACTGGAAGAAAAGCAGACCACAAGGAAGAAGGACAAGCAGGCTAATGTGGGCTGGAGGAGGAAATGTCACTAGAGGCAGTAAGAAGAGAAAAGAACAGCCCTAAGAGCAGAGCAGATCTGGAAAGGTCCCATACGAGCATGGACATACAACACAGAGAAGCAGACGTGCAGGCCCTTGGCACAGGGCCACACAAACAGTCCTTAGCACAAGGAGGTGATTACGAAGAGAACAGGGAGGCATCCAAAGTGGAAGAGGTTTGGGAAAGTACGTGGTGGGCCTGAGAGAGCAGCGATGTGAGCAGCCCTAGGAGGGAGCAACACCAAGTGGGCTAGCCTCCAGCGTTTCACTTTGAGAAGCCAGGAAGGGAGCAGATCCAAGGGCTCCTCTTTCCGACTTTATCATTGGCAGACTGTGCTGAAGATCCTGAACACGATCTCCGATTTCTGTCTCCCTCATAGGTGTGAAGGTGAGGGGGAAGGTGGAAGGGACAACACCAGACACATTTTTTCGTACTGTTTTGGAACAACAACACAAAATACTCACTGAAGAAATAAAATAAACAGCAGAAGTACAAGAAAATTTGGAAAAGCACGTAGAAAGATGCTTGCTTAGTAATCTAGAAAGTATAGTAAGGTTCCAATCCACCAAAACATCTAAACTATGTTGAATTTTCTTCCTGCCAGTAATACCTTCCCTTATGGCTCAATATGCTTATGTGAGCAAAATATTCTAAATATAACTTCCAGTAAGTAGACTGTAATGAATGGATCCAATATATTTAAAAACCATTAAAAACCCAAAGCTAATAGCTGAAATACTGCTTTGCATGATTTATCAGTGCATTAAACACACTGGAAACTTGATAATTTTGTTTAGATGTGTCACTTAGATGCTTTCCTAAAATTGCCCAAACTGTTTTCAGAAGGAATAAAATACCCCAAATACTAGCAGTTACCTACGTGTTCTCTAAGAGTCATTGGCTGCACTGATCGTGTGTAAACAGTTAAGGTTAAAATTTACAGTCTCACTAGGTCAGCACAATTTATTTTTCTGTTGGCAAAAACTTCCTGGAGATTCTCCCAACAGAAAGACAGAGGTAGGATACAGTACTCCTGGGCAGGATATGCTTGCTGTTAAATTTGCTGAGATGTAACAGTACTATTTATTTTAAATACAAAACAGTTATTTGTCTCAACATGTGTAATTATAGTATCTTTAGTATCTCTAATAAGCTGACTTCAAACTAATTATCATCATAGTACCTGGAAGGCCATGCCTTCTCTTGTCTTCCCCTGCCTCATTACAATTCAGCACAAAAAAAGCAGCACTACAAAAAGAGTGAGGATACTTGACTGGAAATCTGGAATGTGTAGTAAGTTCCCAATCCAATAAAACACAAGCCACACTGAATTTTCTTCACGCCAGCAGTCCCAGCTGAAGCCAACAGGATCGCTCATGTGCTGAAAGTTAAGCCTGTGCCAAAATCCACTGGCGGACTTTTCATTTACTGTTCTCAAAGCACTCAGCAAACGTTTATTTTACCAAGACAGTGGGCCATATTTGGCCATTAGTTATAAAGCAGAACTCTTCATTAGCTGCTTTGAAATTAACGGCATGAGAAGGCCTCTCATGGATATAATCTCTTAAAGCTTCAAACCTGTCTTACTGGGAGTAAACTTAGCCACAAAGAATTTAAGTGACCTGTTGGAGAAACAGCGAGTCAGCATACAAGTTCAGATCAGAACCTAAGTGTTCTCCCTCCTGCTCATGTGACTGTATTCCAAGAGGGGAGCATTACTAGCATGAACAAGTGGCTACTACTCTAGAAGTAAGAAAAGTTCATGCAACTGTCTCTTACCTTGCAGCCAGTCTCGAAAGTAGTGCAGCCACATTTTGGGAAGCTGCCTATCCTCTTCCAACAAAACATATGTCACATTGCTGAAACTTCTGTGAAGTTCATACAGTAAGTGCTGGACATTTGGATAGTCTGCTTTCTGTGTTACAATATACATGTTGTAGAATGAAAAGTACTTGAACTGTGCGGCAATAAAGTCATATTCCCGTGTTTCCCGTGGTACAATGTCTGTGAGATCTAGTCCATCTCTCACCCGGGTAGTTCCATAAAGGCTGAGCCCAAGTAAACCCAGAAAAAGGAAAATAACCACAATCTGCAACAGAAGATGGAAATGCATTTGTTTAGGTTTCTAAAGAAACTAACAATTCATAATGGCACACTACAAAGCCAGGTTCAAAATTAACGCCCATCAGTCTACTTTAAAGCTTTTATTTCTTCTTCTTTTTTTTTTTTTGTTTTCATACACATACACACTACAAGGCTAAGCTAATTTCTGCTTTATTGAAGGGACTCTGCATCATGAATGAGAAATTTGTATCATAATAAAGTTTAAAAGTGGCTTTAGTTTCACTGTTCACAAGCTTATGTTATTGAAAGTCATCAAAACCCTCACTTGTAACTTATATTTGAAAAGCATGTCTCTACAGCACTTGCAAGATAAAACTTTTGAAGTATGAAATTAGCTGTAAAATTACGAAGAATTGTTATTCCAAAATAATTTTATTTATTCCTTATATTTAATACCGCTGCCAGGATAATTTTATTACTAGGCAAGGCAAAAGCCTGTTTTTGAAAAACAGGTAAATAGTTCCCTGATTACCTTAGCTTTTGGTTTTAGGAGGAACGGAGCATAATGCTTTTCTGCAAAAGATGAGAGCGTCCACTTCGTACAGGGTGGCTCAAGGCAATGCATACTAGAGTCTGAGAATTGGGAAAGCAAATCCCTCGTCGAGCTTGTGCTTTCTGGGCTCTGGCAGCTAAGATTATCTTGCGTCACTGTCACTGGCTGCACAGATATTTCTGAGCGAGGCTCTGCTGTGGTGTAGTACACCTGCGTATGAGGATCGTATTCTGTGCGCAACTGCACTGTAGACTGCATTGTAATCTGAGTTTCATGTGCAAAACTGTGACTGCTGTACGGGGGTGGAGGACTGTAGCAAGTATTGTCGTTTTCCACATATGCTTGAGGCTCAATCTGAATCACTCTAGTGACACATGGACTGTAAGAGAAGAGAAAAACATCTGTTCGCATTTAGATAGATCTTTATTTTAATCAGACTTGAGTGGATAACCTGCTTCTATCTGAGACTGCTTCTGCTACTATTAGATGGTTTATATTAATGAAGTGTAATGATTTGATGTGAATTTTATTCTGCACCTTTAGGAAACATTTCTCAGACATGGTTCAAAGTGTAGGCCTCTGAGAATATGTGTACATTTCCTGTGCTCAAAAAGAAGAAACCAGCATCTGTCTGAAGACATTGACATCTACCCATATCACTCCATTAATTACACATGCTTATCAGGTCAATACCCAGGTAGTTGCACACAGTCTGGAATGCACAACACATGTGTGAGTTTGCATCTACATGCCCATGCTGAGAATCAAGCTATTTAGACCAAAATGTAAACACATGACATTGTGAGTTCTTCTGTTTCGAACTATTAAAGTAACTGTTAAATAATATTTGGGCCTTCTGGATAAGACCTCAAACTTCTAAGCAACAGGCTGAAACCACTTGGCATACACTGACTGAATGTTTTAAAAATTAAGTAAACATAAGCAAAGATTAATTCCTAGGAAGGATGGACAACATGAAGAGACAAAATTACAGAAGTAATTGAAGCATTCCCTTTACTTTAGTCTATGCAAGACCCTAACAGATACCTAGTTTATAAAAAAAACAAAAATTATCAGGGACAAACCTCTTCCTGTAAATGAGAAATGACAAATTGATGATAGAAAACAGTATCAGAGATTTTTCACCGAAAGGACAAATCCTACAAAACCAAGAGGAATTCAGAATGTTGCCTACCTAAACAAAGCAAGCTCTCATTAGCTGCATTTCTTCATATGTAAATGTGCCTAAATTCTGATACACATTTGGTGCAACTTTAGATGAGGGAATAAATAGAAGGTCTGATTGCTTTATATTTCTAAGAATCAGGGCTCCAAAATTCAAGTATATTAAGCCATCCACTGAAACTATGACTGAATCAGAAATGGAAAGGAGGAGTCTTGGCTTGGGATCAACTCCCTGTTCTAACCACTCCCTCAAAAACAAATTTAGAAGAGTGCTTTCTCTCTTTGACATTAAAATTAAAACATCAAACTATGTCAGCTTCTAGGTGGGCGCAAAAGGCCACAAGGTGGATTTTCCACATCCTGGGTATGACAGTAAGAGTACACGTTTAGAAATGTAGCCGAACCTCTTCACTGCAGGCAAAAGCAAAAACTAAGGTAGAAAATATGCTTAATTTCTAAGCGGTGGCTCTACTGATAACAGGGCACTTCTCCTAGCCCCACTCTATGCTCAGAGCTGGTCATGTATCAGGTTGAGTCTGTGTATTCACGCTTTAGAATGGCGGTATTACCATTCTAAATTACTATTGCAGCCGTAACAGAAACTTTATCAAGCATTATCTTATAACGGTACTGAGCATCCTGCATTCCTCACAGTCCTATGAAAAACTCGGCTAAGGGGAAATTACTTTATAGTTTATACATTATGTTTATGTATTTAAGTTTAAAGACATAAAAAGCATAAAAATTAGCACCTAGTGATTAACTGTAAGTACGGCTTCTCAGTACCATGAGTTATGTACAGTCTTCCAAGATTACTCAATACTAGCACTGGACACCTTGCAGTACCCCGTAACATTCTAAAAATATTTGAAGATATTCCTTAAGTATGGATCTTTTATCTGCTTTCAAAAAGTTGTCCTCCAACAGTCAAAATTAACATACATATGAAAGAAGGGGAAAAAATGTGTGTGTGTGTGAGAGAGGGAGAAACAGACTGACCTATTTTAACTTTTCCCCTCAGTCAGGTAAAAAGCAAGGTAGCAAATGTAAGTTGGTCACCAGCAATGAAGTCGTAACAATACCATACTGAGCCTACTGCAGTCAAGAACTCCCACTCCTGATGAGGAAAAGTAGCATTGATTGGTGACCACAAAAAGGACACACCTCATACATCAATCTATCACACATTCTCACCTTGTAAAACAGCAAAATATATCCAGTCTCCTGTCTTCCCGACGATAAAGGTCCATGCTCAGGATAGCAGGAAAAATCAGCAGAACCATAGCAAAGTTGAATACCACCACAACTGCTGCCTAGAGATCAATCATAGGAGAAGTGAGGTTATTACTAAGCTTCATGTAAGGCATCAGCTTTACAAAGCATAAAACTTCCTTTCAATTCTCATCCATTCATCCATTTATAATGTCAACCCATCAGATGCTTTCAAGCTTTCCCTTGATGAAACTGGGAGATATACTTTTACATTCCCATTTCATTATGGTAGGTCTATTGTAGTTAGTTAATTTCTTTTAATAATAAAATTAAGATTTTAATACATCTGTGCCTGGAGACATGGTGATGATTTTTAAAGTGGAAAACCAGAGTCAACAAATCATACTTTTGCATAAGATTCTGCCATATTCAGAGTCTCACAGTAAAAAATGATGGAAGCAAAAGCAAATCTGGAACTAGAACTGAAGTTCTCATATTTAAGGGATCTGAAGTATTTTAAGTATCACAATAACATTAAAGCACATTATTAAATCAGAAATGAAATAAAGGTTTAAGTAAATTTTAATGAAACTATTCTATCTAGTGAAATATTATGTACTTGATGTACTTACTTGAAAATCTAGCCAAAAAGAGCAACATTTGGGGTTTATCAGGGATTATTTTAGAAGGAGAATCAAAATTAATCCAACACCATGTAGTAAATCTACATATTAATATGCTTGTGTTTAACAGAACTTGATTCATGAGCCAGTCTACCAAAATGAGTCTTAAATTGGAACAAGAATACATCTTAAATTGGAACAAGAATACTTGGTTTAATTTGTAAAGCAAACATTACGTAATGAAAAAAAAAAAAAAACAACTTCCCCACCCACCTCCTTTCAAACCGTACTTCAAACCCTTTCCCACACAGAGATTCCCAGAGAATCTCCATAAACATATGTGGTGCAGTATCTATCATTATTATTAATAGCATTTATTTGTCATGCAGAATGGTTAGGAGCACTAGCCATCACAAAGGGAAAGCCTGGGGATAGATGGGACTGGAAGATAGTTATAAGAGTAGGAGAGATGCTAGGGAAAAAAAAAAATGGTTGACCCATCAACAGGTGAAAAAAACCTTGAAATCCTTATGTTTTACCCATTAGATAAGCAGTAGCCAGTTTCATGTTGAAGAAATCATATAAACTATCAAGCGCTTCTACCTGTAACTTCTGAAGTAACAACTGCCTGAGTTAAAGCAGTCATAAAAAAAGAACAAAAGTTGGGCTACAAAAATGAAGTCATTGACCTGATATAAATAGGCCCTCCTTTTTTGAAATTAACAAATGGCTGCTTTTGATGTTGAAAAATCAGGCCTCAAAACTGGCAGCTCAAAAGATGTGATATTCAAAATCCATGTTTTAAAAATTCTTCATTTATGTGTCAAAAAAAAAATAAATTGAGAATGACAGAATCCACTAGTTATGTAAACATCTTCTAGTAATTTCTATCATGAATATATTGCATACAAATGTCTTTTTTGTTGGTGTTTCTCTTTTGTTGTCTCCAGTCTGCTTGAACTAAGATTTTGGTCCTGCTGGTTGTCTGTAGACATAACTACTAAAACAGAATCTACCCAGTACTTAAAGCCAAATTTAGCCATCTTTGAGAGAAAAGATCCAATGAGTATTCACGATTTATAAATATCCAGAGAGAAAGGTATGTAAGGTCATAGCCAAGACTTTAATATTAAGTGATTTCCTTTTGGTCCTCTTTAGAATTAATTGAATCTGTCAGAAAAACAAATGGCTGCTGTGGCAAGCAAGGTGTTTGTTGGACATAGTTCATACAACTGCTTTCTTTATTGCTGCTAAACAAGAGAAGGTTGAATCACCTATATAACATGAATAATTAGTTGTGTCTAACCAGGACCTTCTATCAAGGATCAGCTAAGATTTATTGAGATTTGGAAAAAACAGCTGAGGCCTGACTCAGTAATTCTTACTCCTCCCAGCATGGCTGAAAAATTAACAGAAGTCCTCTGTTCCTGCTCCATGAACTGCAAATACTTCATACCTTATCAGTTCCCTTTGTAGACTCCAACATCCTTGAATCTCAAATGCTGCTAAACCTGAAAACTAATACTTAAGTGTATCGTAGAGATGCCATTAAAGTTAGTTATACTTACATCTGATTTTTTAAGAAGCATCTAAACTAATCCAACAACACACAGTAAATCTGCCTATTAACATGGCAGCTCTTTTTAGAACAAGTGGCTTTTCCACTATGCCATCCCGGTGTTGATGTACTAACCCTACAAGTAAAATATTTTTAAACAATTCTCTCCATTCTGATTGGTACTTGAATAGATTCCTATGGCTTAGCACCACACTTCCTATACATTGTACACTGTGTCTGCCTCACCCACCTTCCCAGCTTTTCAAGGATGGTTCCCAGCATTTTAAGGATGTAACAGTTCTCAGTTTTCACAATTAAATACAGAAAACACTGTTCTTGTATCAATTCTTATTTGTTGTCCCATCAAAAAACACCCTGTGACTTGACAAGGAGAGGGAAGGAAGAACCGTTGAGAGGTGACTCCATCTCTGACCTGATGCATCAGCCACTGCTTCCCCTCCCAATACCATTTAGACATCTGGTGGCTGGGAATGGGAAGGTTATGAGAAATGCCATCGCGCCAATATCCACAATCTGTAACAATTACATGGACTGGAAAAGCACCAACAAAAACCTGTGGTAGCAGAGCTTCCAGAGTACAGGCTGTGTGTTAGCAGCACCCAAGCTGAGAGCATGCTTGGGATTTTTGGGCACAGAGAATCTTCTCTCACCCCTTCAGAGAGGAATGGTCAAACGGGAGAGGAAAGGGCCTCAGACCTTTTCCCTGAGAAATCAACAGAGGTAAGATTAGTCCTAGAAGGGATAAAATGGGGCCTACTCAAGGGTGTAAAATGAAGGCATTCAGTGAAATGAGATCAGAGAGTGGTAAAAAAATTCCATTAATCAGAAAAAAATGTTGGTCACTTCCTGAGAAACATGCTCCGTTTTTTGCATCTTTTCATAATGCACAGCCTAAAAATATTATTGCTGCTGCAACTGGTAACGGAGACAGAAGAATGGCAGTCTGTGCTGGAGGCAGCAAGGGAGAGGCGAGCCAGACTGGTAGGCTGGGGCCCCGCTGAAGGTATGTGCTGCTATGTGCCATTCCTGGCAGCCCACCCAAGGAGAACGGGTGTGCTGTATAGCCAGAGGTGATGAACAGATGAGGAGGTCTGTCAGGGAAACTTCTACCCTACTGCTGCCTATCTACAACTCCCTCCTGACAGCCTAGAGACTTGGCTTCCTCCTCCCAGCCCCTCCCCCCCCCCCCACC